CTGTATATAATACACATCACACAAATTTATAAAATTTGATAGTGTGCACAAAACTTAAGAATATACTTTAGGCCTATAACTGTGACAATATTTATTATTTGTTTCTCTCACGTTTGAGAGTGTACAAAGGAAAAATGGACTCAATGCCTATACTTGTCTATTTTCCTATAATACAAAGGTCCATTGGCCTAATAGTTGTATTGAATTTTAAGGAATTTAATCTATGGACCTACAGTAGTAGGCTTATATCAATACTGAGCACGATGATCGTGCTAATATTCAGGCATACGCCAGCCTAAAAGTGCATTCACGCCTAATCCGATCCGTCGCACCAGAAAGCCTATCGAAATCGAAACGGATGTATAAAATTATGGACGAATTCCTTCAGCACATCGGAAACGCTTCCAAATTACGGTTTGGTTCCGATATGAATGCCGCTAAATAGGCCTATTTTACAAATACGTAGGCCTTTATTTTTTGTATGGTTTCAAGCGTTATTCCATTGTTTCTTTTCATATTTTTTTTTATATATTTTTGATATTAAAATATAACTCTTAATTAATTCAATTTAATCCCAATTATTCAAAATTAGTACAATGATAATAATACTACAGATAACAAAATAAAACTCATTCAAGTATAACGTTTCATTCATAATTATTTTCTTTTACAACATTCTTAAATATAACCCATGCATTTTTTCAAACTGGCTTACCTAGCTCTGTTAGAATTTTAATTTTGTATATAGCAAATACTGCAAGGGAATATATTTCATTTTTAATTCTGCTATCACAGCATGTTAATAATTTTTTAAAAGAAGATTGACTGTTGTCAAGTTTCTTAAATAGATTGTCTATATTTTCCCATAATATCCTATTTTTTATACATTCAAAAAACATGTGCTTTTCATCTTCGACTGCTCCACACGTATCACATGTGTCAGTGTGTTTTATCTTCCATTTTTACAATTGCCTATTTGTTGGAGAGATTTTGTTTAACAAGTTATAATTTAGTTGTGCATACTTTCTATTTTTTCCCTCCTTTATTTTTCTCATCCAGACTTCAGACCAGTTTATTTTCTCTCCAGTATATAGATCCCATTTATTTTAAACATAGGGTGGGATAAACATTTTATCAACAAAACATGAATAAATGTCTTTTGTTTTCATTTTACCTATACTATCATATTCATCAGTCATCACGAAATCGTCAATTTTATGTTTGTAATGTCTTATAACGTACAACCACTCTTTTGGAATAGCTTGTATCAACGAGGCGTATTCACTAAGCCAGTTTCTTTTATCAACTAAATTATTTAAAATTTCATTGGACGTCATTATTCGATTTTTTATAACAATATTCTTGATTCGTTTAAAATTCGAATCTATCCATGCCCTGAACCATAGTGATTTGTTATTGTGACAAATCAATTTGTTTCCCCAAAAAGTCTGTTGAAGGATTTCTCTGTAATTATCTACTGTAAAACAATTATATGCATTTAGTTCAGTACAACACTTAATAACGTTGAAATAAAATGGTGGCATTTTATAAGAAAATATTACATTTCTTAAGGTAATGTTTGACATATTGAATATTAATTCCTCATTACCCAGTATATAATGTAAGGGCAGTACTTTCCACCTTACATGCTTTCTACACATATTTTTTTTTTGCCCACGTAATCTGCAGCGCTTTAATTTGCAACTAAAAGTCTGTCATATTTATACCTCCTTTAATGTTTTTACCAATTAAAGTTTTTCTTTTTATTTTTTCTTTCTTACCGTCCCAGAGAAAATTATACACCAACTTATTAACCCGTAAAATAACATCATTTGGTACATTGATTATAGAAGCATTATAAGTTAATTTAGAAAATGCTAAGCTCTTTAAAATGGTAACCTTTCCAAAAAACGTAAGATTTCTGCCTTTCCAGGAGTTAAGCAATCTTTCCAGACTACCTAATTTATCGGTCCAATTTAATTCTTTACATTTTGTTTCGTCATATCCGACATGTATACCTAATATTTTGATAGGTTCTTTGGTCCAATAGACCTCGTGGGTTGTCGGGTCTTTTTCTCCATTTTCCAATCCAAATTGCATTTGTTTTACTTTTATTCAGTCTCATGCCTGAAACTTTACCAAAGTTTTCAACAATGCATAGACCCCTTTCAATACTATTACTATTTCCAACAAACAGAACTGTATCATCTGCGAGTTGTGCTATACGAGCTTCTTCAATATTTGTTCCGCACGGAAGAGGTATTCCTTTATACTCTAAATCATCTCTTATGCTACAGGCCATACATTCTACAACTTAAATAAAAAGCAAAGCAGACAAGGGGCAACCTTGCCTTATTCCACTATTCATTTCAAAGCCTTCAGAAATCCATCCGTTATTAACAATTACACACTCTGTTTTATTGTAAATTGTTCTGATCCAGTTGCAAAAACCCTCACCAAAATTTTAAAAACTTTTTTAAGACACTAAACATAAAATCTCTGCTGACAGAGTCAAATGCTTTTCGAAAATCATGCGACAGAACAGCCCCTTCTATTTCTTCTTCTAATGTGTAGTAGAGGATATCATTAATAAACCGAATATTTTCTTCAGAAAAACGACCTTTTATGTACACTTTTTTGTCATTATTATTTAATCTTGAAGAGTTTGAGTTAATATTTTGTAATCTATGTTTAATAAAGTGATAGGACGCCAGTTCTCCAGCATTCGTTTGTCTCCTTTTTTTGTATAATAAAGTAATTACCCCACGCCTCTGTGAGTAACTCATTTCATTCTTTAGGTAACACGCATTAATAGCGTCACAAACAATCTGTTTAATGTCTTTCCAAAAAAAATTGGTAAAACTCTATTGTTAAACCATCGCACCCGGGCGATTTGTTTAGTTTCATATTTTTGATTGCCAAATCACATCACATTCATTAATTGTGACAGCACCTTCACAAAGAGTTTGTTCCTCATCTGTCAAGCAGATTACGTTTAAGTTTTTAAGGTAAGTGTCTATATCAGTCAGGGGGATCGCCTTATTTGCATATAGCTGTTTGTAGAAGTTTACTTTGGGTCTGACGACACTACACCACTTGAGATTTTTATACTTTTTATATGCTTTTTTAATCCGTTGTTTTTCTCTAAGCTTAGAACATATTTAGTACTACGTTCACCCTCTTCTATCCACTTTACACGCGAACGTATATATGCACCCTTTGTCTCTTTATCATAAATCTTTTCTAATTTTGTTCTATTTTCTTCAATTTTTGTCTCAATGTTTTCGTTTACACCACTGGCGTCATTTACGAGATCCTCATTCAATAGTTTCGTTTTTTGTATATGATTTGTTAATTTTTTTACCCCACCAAATAGACGCCTCTTTTATTCTGCTTTTCATAAGTTCCCATAATAAATCCGGGCTAACATCACTCTCGTTCGCAACTGTATCAGTAATGAGTTTTGATATTCAATATTATGCAATAGACTATTGTTGAATTTCCAATAACCAGGTCCCTTTTTGGATTCGCCAGACTCAATCTTCAAAGAAATCGCCTGATGATCATTTAGTATTTTGTCATTATTTATATTTCTCCAAGTTTCACCCTCTGTTACGCTTTCTTCCAAATTGAGTGTACTGATTTCGCAGGCATCTTTTATCTCACGTTCATCACCGCTACTGCTGATATCTTCTGTGATTGTGTTATCTCTTATACACCCTTATCTGACTCGGTCTGCACTGAAATACTCGCCTTTCCGTCGTCACACGCCCCCGTGGGAACTCCATCTGATTGTTTAGTGTTCACGAAA